GAGAGAGAGAGAGATGCCATCATTCCACGTACCATCAAAACTCTCCTCTGGTTGCCTAGGATTTAGCTGGGCTCTTTTTGAGGAACAAACACCCAAAACTTTTTGAAAAATTGGCTTCCAGCTAAATGGGTACTTGACAGCACGCTGTGCCTTTGCAGTGCCCTTTTTATGTTTAGTTGTTGGTATGAGAGATCAAGTGGCTTATTTTTATTATTATTTTTCTCTTTCCTTTTTCCCCTCTTTCTCTAGGCCCAGTCTGAGGTGCCCCTTTTGTTTGCAAATTCACATTAGCAATCTGGGTTATTTTTCAGATCTGTTATGCAGTTAAATAGACGTATCCCCACTATGCATCTTTTGAGAATCCTAGTTCTACAAGTGTCCCACTTCTGACAGCTCCGATTTATTCCATACAATTTTCCTCTCTATAAATACGCCCCAAGTACCAACTGAATAATGCATAGCCTTTGCTGTTCTCAGTTTCTCCTGAAGTTTGTAGCCTCTGTTGTTTCTCTTCAAATTTGTGACCAGATATGGGTCTCTTTCTAACGGTAACTGTCTTGTTTTTGGCAGCGTGGGTCACTGGAAAGTCAATTCTGGTGAGAGTTTCAGTCAAATGCGATGGCATTTTGATGAAGATGGTGCCATGCCTCCCTGCAAGCCAGGATACACATGCCCATGTTTCACATGCTTGTGGTGTGGCTGCTAGAGAGGTTGTACTCAGCCTCAATGCCTTTGTGCTATGATGGAGCTCGCCAAAGGTCAGCATTATGGGATTGTAGTGGAGGCGGTTATGTCGATGCTGCAGAGGTGTGGTTCGAAGTGAAGGTGGCCTCTCTCTTGCAGTATGTTTGGGACACCTTATAAAGCTCTCTGAATCCATTTTCTGAGCATGTTTTGGGGGTCCTGTGAGGTCCAAGCACATTCTCTCTCTCTCTCTCTCTTGGCTGTGTGAATTCATTTTCTGCACGTTTTGGGGTCCGATGAGGTCCACGCATGTTCAGTCTCTCTCACCTGTTTATTTGTATGGCCATAGCACCTCTCTCTCTTTAAGTCAGACCTTTTTTCCGTGATGTTTGGGAGTTACCATAAGATCCCTGGCCAGTTCATTGGGTGACGGCATTACTTGTGACTTGCAGGTACTACATTTGCCATGAAACAATACAATGCATCTCAGATCCGCTGCTGCCTTGCTTCAATTTCTCCCTTTCAACCAAGAACCAACCTCTATGTATTGTAAAATAAATAAATATCTAAAAATAAGGCTTTATTCCTGAGGTTTGCGTACTTAATTTCATAACTGCTGGGCATTTTCCAACATTCAAAGAAAGAAACAGGCATTTTGATCAGTTACGATAGTCGGTAAGAAACAATGCTAAGATGTAGTTTCTATAAGGCCTAGGCCTCGTGAGAAAAAGTAAAGCCTCACTTTGGGCATGGGAAATCCCTATGATAGTTCTAAAATCAAATTTCCACTACCTCTTACAAAATTTGCGGCTCAAAAAATAATGCAGATATTGCGGATCCATAAAATTTGAAAAGAGGCAGTCTAGATGTGTTATATACATTATTTTAGGATTTCACTTCAAAGAAAGAAACATGCATTTTGATCAAATATACATTATTTTTAGGATTTCACTTCAAAGAAAGAAACAGGCATTTTGATAGTCAGTACGAAACAATGTTAAGATGTACTTTCTGTAAGGCACAGGCCTCGTGACAAAAAGTAAAGCCTGACTTTGGGCATGGGAAATCCGTACGATAATTCTAAAATCAATTCCACTATCAATTACAAAATTTGTGGTTCAAAAAATAATGCAGATATTGCATATCCATAAAACTTGAAAATAGACTGTCTAGATGTGTTAT